TTGTAATATTCTACTGGCGGCAAAATCTTAGCGAAATCCAAGGTTATGCTTTGAATAAAAGGGTCCTTTTGAGATAAAAACGCCTTTCAAAGCCACTAGCGAATGACGTCACAACATGGCCGAAATTCTAAAGGGCCAATTTTGCCTTTTTATATTTATTTTTCGAGCGAAAGATGAAAAAGACGAAGCTCTTTATAAAGCGCCTTTATGAGGATGGAATTTGAAATTGGACGGGATTATTTATTTGCGTATGACTTCTTTAAATTAATTAAAATTTGTAGGTTAAAGCTTTGGAGTTTTATTATTTCCCAAAGGGTAAGGAAAAGAAAGAAAGCAGCTTTCATTTTTTTAATTCGTAGATTTTTAAAACAATTTCCCCAAAAATAAATCTGAAGATCAATTCTCCTTGTGTGTCCACGGGCGGCGCTAACCAAAAGTTGAAGTTTCAATTTTTTATTTCTATTTAATATTATTCTTAGTTTTCGTCTTGTAGCATAACAGGTATAAAAGAATTTAAGATAAATATGCAATCCCCAATCTGCCTTCCAAGCTTGGAGATTATGAAAAAGTCTCTTATGTAGAAGAGACTCAAAATCCAGGAATGAACTGTTAATACAATTTGGAATTGGAATAACACTTTAAAAAAAAACAAAATCATTTAAAAAAGGAAGCAGATATTTGTTTTTGCATGTAGCAGTCAGTATTACGCAATCGGTGTAATCTAGAAATGTCTAACTGGTACCAAAGTACCAAGTAATAGCGCGTTTGGTATGCTACGGACACGATTAGAATCGAATCGTTGAATCGATAATGTTGTATGTGGAAAAATTTCAGTGAAATCACTATTGGAAATGCATTAATAGTATTAAAGTTTTGTTTTAGTTATAGAAGTTGAAATTATTGTATAATCTTGGTTTAGAAGTTAAGTAATTGAAAATGTGTTATGTGTTATTCGGTAATGTTAGCATTATACTTGATATACTCAAGACCTACGAAAATGGTAAAAATTAAAATAACAAAGGAGGTTTTTAAAAAGAATATACTAGACTTCAATATCGATTCGCGAAAAGAACGATAAAAGATAAAGTTTGGATAGGCTTTTAAAAGAAAATATAATTTTATACATTCCAAAAATTTTATTTTAATCATCAGAAATACTCAATCAATCCCCAAACTAAACAACATTCACTTCCCACACTTTCGTCCCACCAAAACAGTAGTATTCGTCCTTTGATAATTCAGTTACACAGTTTCCCGGTAACTGGGACAGGAGTTCAACTTTGACCTCAAATCCTATTGAACCTGAGACTCAAGGTCGGTGAGGTCAGATTAGGGCCGTTCGAGAGCTAGCCCAAAACGTGTCAGGCTATGACCTATGACCTACATCTGTTACAAGTTTGAGGTCAAATGCAATGTTTACATTTTTATTTAGTTATTGGTCGGTTATATTATTGTTTTTCTTTCGATGTTTTTTTTTTGTGGATATTGATGTTTTTGTGGACTGAGGTGAGAAGATGGTTTTGTCTATCTGATGATGGATTTTCTGTCAAGAACTGACTTTATTAGTGTAATGTTAATGTGTGTGTGATTTAGCAAGTCACTTTTGTCATTTTATACATAAAATTTTTGATGTTTTTTTTATAATTTTCACCCATTCTGTATTAGTATACAATTCAGACATGGGCTGACATTTAAGTCAATATTTCAATCACGAACATCGCTATTCCTTTGTTGTTATGACTCTTTATTAATTTTCTTAACGAAACAAGACCAGACTGCTTATTCATTGTTTTGTCTATCAATATTGCATAGTCAGCCTTAATAGTACTACGATTTAATCTTATTGCAATTTTACTAGCAACACAAAAGTTTTAAAAATGAATACATTTTCTTATATGAATCTTTTGACTTTCATTGCCATTATTGTCCTGATTGTGGTTCTAAGCAATATTGACTCATTAACAACATTCACTAATAAAATAAATGCATCATTTTTACCAGCTTCGTGGAGCAATTTGTTCAATTGGAAACAACATCACCTATACTGGCTTTGGACGCTGTAAAGGATTTCATTACACCTGCTCCTATTTATTTCTCTTTAGTACAGAACATAAAATCCTCGTCCATAAAGTTTAATTTAAAATAATATAGAGTTAAAGTTCATTGTTCTATGCAACCAATAACGTACAATTAACCCATATCTTGTAAGCTAGCACAGTTAAAAGCCCTGTTATTCATTTAAACAACAATGAATTACCGCTGTGCGTGACTCTTAGCGTTTTCACACACATACACAATGTTAAAACTTAGCTGTGAATCGAATCCCGTTGTGGATACAAAATGGCTAAAATCCTATGTAATATTCACATACAATTTGCTAAAAATACCTCTCCATTCAACTTTAATACACAGCCCCCTTTTAAAATCAACGTCTTTTATTATTACCCCCCTAAATGCGTATAACAAATAAGGAAATTACCAGAATGCTTTCTATAGCCACGTGTCCCGAAAATAGGTCATCTTTTATCTTTCAACAATTTAAATATTACTGTCTCTTTCTTTTCATTGTTTGGTCATGCGTGTGAGTGAGAAGGCTCTATTTAAATGTGGTTCCCCTCAAAACTTGATAGTGCTGTAATAGTCCAGTTGACTTTTGTTGCTTAGGGTTAGGATGTCAAGATGTATCCTGAGTCGTCATAGTTTTGGTAGACGATTGTGACATTAGGAAGTGTCATGTCGAGATTGTGTGAAAGGAGTTTGTATATAATTTTACCTCATTTTCTAATGAAAATAGTCTGCAGTTTCTGCCTGTGGCCATTTATTATATAGGTATTTGTACAAGTCATTTTTGTATTTAATAGAATGATGAATCAAATAAAATGTTGTAGATTCTGCTACACAATAAATATTTTCCTGGCACATTTTTAGTTTTGAATCTTTAAATAGACATTTAAAAGACTTTTGAGGAAAAAACTTCAACTCAATATAAATTTATAAAATCAAAAATTTTTCGCTAATTCTTACAAATTTATCTTTTCATATTAACACAGCTTGGCACAGTTATTCAACGGAAATGAATTTAGTGTGAAACTTTACCAAAGACTTTATCTTTTACGTTGAAAACCAAGATACGGGTCTCTATCAATGCTTTGTGTAAACAATCACCGTTCTGTGGTTTCTATTCAATGGTTACTTGAAATAAAATTGAAAATGTTATGTAATATTGTACCTATTATACGCTAGTAGGCAGAGAACTTGTAGAAACTATAGAAATTAGTAATAAGGCTATGGAGCTTATAGAAAAGTTAGCATAATATTCGCCAATTATTGTTATTTAAGGTAATTTTTTATAATATCTGTGTATTATAATATACTAGCGACCCGACCCGGCTTCGCACGGGGCAATATGCATGTATTATACACTTAAACCTTACTTAAGAATCACTCTATCTATTAAAAAAAACGTATCAAAATCCGTTGCGTAGTTTTAAAGATCTAAGCATACATAGGGACAGACAGACGGTGGATAAACTTTGTTTTATACTATGTAGTGATGATGATGTATATTTAGTGTTAGTAGTTTTAAATAAAGTAACAATCGGAGTTATTGCTTCTTCTCCATTCGAACCTAGATTTTGGAACGAGTATCTATCTTCACTGACGATATTGACAGACTATTATTTATTTCTATATTTTTGTCGTTTCAATACTACCAAATTATGGTTTAATTGAAATAAATGCTTTGGCTGATAATTTTTGATGTAAATTTCGTACGAAATGTGTGCCAGTTATGTTTAATCAGACATTACGAAACAGGTTCCAGAAGTGACAGAACTGAAAAAAAAATAGAACAGATAGTAACATTGTACTTAATTGGTGAATTATAAGGCATTATAACATTAGGGGAGGCCTATGTTCGGCAGTGGACGTCATATCACATATCGGTGATGATGGTAATGATAATGATAATACATACATTTGTTTAGTTATTTATTGTTAAAAATAACAGATTTTCTGTTTTCCTCCTGGATACCGAAGTAAAATTTTACCAAATTAAACTAGGTATAATGGTAATATAATAACAGATTTATTTTTTATTATCCTTATTTCGGTATTCTATTATGGGTATCAAATATTGTTTGTGGTATAATGTAAATATATATATATATATATACCTATATATTGTTTTTCTACACTTGGAGATAAGTGTAGAAAATATAGCAATAATTATTTTTGTGATGTACTTTGCAAAGTACATAAAATAAATAATATTATAAAATGGGATATAAATTATAAAAAGATTCCTGTTAACATCTCAATACCTATTACAAATAATTAAATATTTGTCCCTTTCATTATCAAGTATCTACCTACGTAATAATTACAAAATAAACGTTTTGCCAATAAATTGCAATTTTAATAATCAATCACGTTCGGCCTTCTAAAAAAACTAAAATAATAATTTCGATAGTTTAAAACCAATTGATTTTCGTTAATATTTTTAAACTTTGCAAGCTTTTAGAATACTTACCATACCTACCTACATACATAATTCAAAATATTTTTTTTTCTCCAATTACTTTTTAAACATGTTAATTATGTAACACTTTATCTTCATAAAAAAACAACAATGCATTATTAGGAAGTTACAAAATGTCTAATTTTATGAACGCACTATCGCATAACAAAGCTTATTATATCCATTTATTAAAGCCACCGTGACTAATTAAACCTTTACGGACATACACAGTTAGCTAAACAGTTAAACTATTCTAAAATTCACATGCAAAACTCACTTCGCGTCTAATTGCGTAATTATAACTTAATTAAAACGCCGCGAAGAGAAAATAAAATTACGTAAAACAAAAACTTTCGTAAATAAATATGGCCGCCATCGCATCGCGCCGGCAATGAATGACAGTTGCCGCCAAAAATCCCGAGTTGTGAACAAAAAATACAGATTAAAAAAAATGTTTAAGCTGTCAAAATGAAAATCAAACCTCCTTTGACTTTCGTCATTCCATTATTAATTATTATTTATTTATACACTGACACACCACACCACAGACACAACACTGCACTTTTAAAGAATTTTTGCGTATTATTTTGTGTACGCGCCGAATTCGTTAAGACCCGCTCACACCCGTGATGTTGCAAGCGGGCCTTCGAGGGAACAACTAGGAAATAAATACAAGCACACAGCACACCGCGCCGCGCCGCACATAACCTCTTTCCACGCATTTGTGTGTGTGAAGTGCATACGTTTTGACAGCATGTGAAGTTTATTTATAAGCCTATCGCATCACGTACTATCCCCAAAACTAAATAAATTCACCCACCAAAAATACAATTCTAATTACAGTATCAACATTCTCATTCCGCCAACTCTAATTAGACTCTAATAAGACTTCAAAATGATACAATCAAGCCACCAATTAAAATATTTCTAATCAAAATTTTAAATCTAAAAATGACAGATTAAAAATCTGAGACATAGCGGTTTGAGAAAAATGTTACGCGGCTAAATCACAAACACCGTTATTACATAACAGTCGGCTAGAAAGAGATGGGGATAGTTTTTGTACGTGCTAAAATAAGACAGAAGATCGAGGTTGTGTAACTCAACACAGGGAAAGCTCACACGTACTTTCTTTATACATGACAAACACTTGTGCGTCGGTGTTTGTATATACGTGTGCAAGTGTGTGCACGTCTTTACATTTTTGAATTTCGAACGAAAGAGCGTAAGTGTCGGGATGGATTTTTCAAAATGGACTCTTCTTTTAGAAATATGGAGTGCAATATTGAGCGTTGAGGTAGAGAGTATAGAGTCGTTTTTTGCTTTGGCTAGGGTGTGTGCGGCAGCTTTTTGAAGGGGTTCAATGACACATGGTTTGGCACGTTCCTTAGGCCCACCAATTTTTTCAAACATGCTGCGGAGTAGGTTGAAAACCCCACAAAAGACGTGATATTTTCACAGAACTGAAACTAGGGCATGCGTAGTTTGTGTTATGGCTTTTTTAATCGATTTTCCTTGAAACGAGAGGATACATATTTGACTTTTAACAAGCGGAATTTTCTTGCATCCTAATATACCGCTTATGATTCGTTCGCCTCGTAGCGAGAATTGACCGAAAATGAGGACATGCGTGATAGGCAATAAATCATGAGTAGTGTTGCTACCCGATGACAGATGGCGTTGTTATACATTTCTCTATTACGAAAAAAATATATTGATCGTGTTAGTGTTCTGTAGTAGGTAGTTAGTAAACGTTTATTTTTAGAAGAATAACAATTGTTTGTGCAGTATTCATTTAATAAATACGTGTACAACTGTTTCGCGCTAAAAATATCACATAGTTATGTCGTGGAACAGTTGCAATTTATTAATAGGTTCAATGTTTCAAAATACGGGAATTACGTCGTATAGAATTAAATATGGCAACTCAAACGCCTAATTGACTACCTCTTAACAATATAACAATTAAAATAACTAATGAAATAATTAAGAAACCCTAAAAATAACGAATCTTTGTCTCAATATAGATGCTATACTGTAAAACTGTGCTATTGCATCACAGCAAAGGAAGTATATTAACAGTCATAATATTTATATAGCTATCCCTTTCCGGCTGTATGGCGTCATCTTTGTCGCACGCAGAGAGTTCCTCGTTTAAAACTCGAAGCTCCACGACGTATGACCGTCTCGCTCCCACTCATCGCGAGTTGTATATCGCTGCTATATTCGTGCAAGGCAACGGAGGGTATTGACCTGTCCTTGTTGCGTATGTGTGCAGCCTTGCTTTACAGTTATACGATGTTTGCATGTGTTGAGCGTGCATCGTAAGGGCCGTTACACACTTCGTCATTTTTTGGACGTAAATTATTTTAATTTTATGCGGAATTTTATTAACGTACTTTTTTTGTACAAACCGTGGTAGTTGTTGTTGGTCGTGGTGAATGAATCCATTTTTGTTGTTGTGCGATTACTTACCTGTAAGCAAAAAGGTTGTGGTTAGTTTTATGCAAATGATAAAAACTTAAATGTCATACATTGGGCTAAATAAGTGTAAATATGTTCAAATTATTCTTCTTCGTGGAATAAGGAATTATAAAGTTGGGAATATATTTTATTGTTCATAGTTTTCATACTAAAAAATCAAAATGAATTGTAGTACAAAATTAACTTAAATCTTTAGCAATACATATACAATTCTTCATAAAAACATATCATATTTCACACAACAATACATTTTCATTTATCCAAAATAAAATTTATACCAAAAAATATAAAAATCATAAATAGCCTCCAAAAACATACAGAACCACTCTCTAAGTGAAAAATATCCACAAACAACGGTTGAAAGCGGCCTAACAGCTACGCTTATAAAAAAAGTTGCGTCAGAACCCATAAAAAATGTCTGCCAGGCGTCAACGCTAGCATTACATCACAACGCTACGTCTGTGTGAGTGACACACACCACGTACGTCACACGTGCACGTCTCTTCACGTGGCCTTTCAATGTGTGTGTGCGGTCTAATCTTTAAAGGAATGCGGGTTTCATACAAGTACGTACTTTTTTAAAAAACTTCACTGAAAAGGGAAATTCTTTGCCCGCTCGCGTCACCACCCTTTCCGTTTTTACTTTTTAAAGATTTTTTTTCACTGCAGCAGTAGCTAGCTAGGCGAATGAAATGGATTGGGTCTTTTGAGCTTCAGTTTTTCGACTTTAATTACTGTGTTTCGTAATCGTTTTATTACTTGTTTTTGTTGATGAAATATCCTGTTGTTTAGTTTTGTGTGTAGGTTAGAATATAAGGACAATTTTTATTAGTCCCTATTAAATTAGAGGAACACACATTTTTATTATTAATATATACCTTTTTCCAATTAGTATAGCTATTAATAAAGGAAGCAATATCATGCTGTTTTTTCCTCCACATTAAAGGCAGTCGGTCAACGCCCTTCATTTCTATATACATATTTCCAATTATATTTAACAATAATCTGACCTAATCTTTATAAGAAAGCCGCGAACATTCCAGACGCGATAGAATAGACCTGCATCCAGCCTATCTAGAACTAATTTAAAGGGCTTTGTTCAGCAGTAGACATCTTGTAGCAGAGTCAATCATGATGATAATGTGAATATTTCAAACATCGAAAGTTGAGTTTTAAAAAGTATTTACAAACGAACAAAGCGTCTATTATAAGCTTAAAATATGACAGTAAAGTCAATAGTTCAACTGCAACTTGACATTTGAGTTAGAAGTTAATGTTGAATAGGAAACAGTTATACAAAGTTGTACCGGTAGTAACGGGTTTGATAACAAAGCCTTTCTCTCGGTTTTATCATAACATTAATGCTTGTTATTTGATTGTAGAGGATAGAGATATATCTATATAAAGGTATTTAGAAGCTACAACTTGCATAAGAATAACTTGTAATTGTAAGACAAAATGATTTAAATCTGACGAATGTTGGTCCAATACGAAACTGTGTTCTATTGCTAATAACCAATGAGAATTGTAGTATTTTAAGCCTTAATAATATTTTTTAGTCGTCTACCAAAATAGTACTACTACTTAAAAACTACTAAACAACGTACTACTTAAGAAAAATTTTCTCATCCTGTTACAAGAAACATAGAACTACTATTCAAAAAACGGGTACTGTATTAAAAAAGTACATTGATTAAAAGACATGACCTTAAATGTTATGTTATTCGACACCTAGAGAACTAGCTCAATCACTGAATCAATGGGAAAGTCCAAAGTTTATTATAGTGTAAGTTAAACTTCGTTCAAACCGTTTACTATAACAAAATTATATAATCGTGAAGCGTGACTCATCGATGCCAAGCCCAAATTCTTGAACTTAGTTTTGTAGGGATGGTTTTATTATGGTAACTTTGGGATAGCTCGTAGAAGAAGGTGAGTAGATACTTTGAGGAGTTATATTCACACACAAGTAACCCTTTATTAAGTTATTGACTGCTGTCGAAGTACTATTTAAATTTAACAAGACAAATGTCCTGTTGGTTAAAAGTTTAGAATTTACTACATCCTAAAAACATTCTTGCAACGGCAAATAATGGCTGGCATTTTTAAAATGCGTTTCAGAACCAATTTCTAGCCTGTATTGTTCATTTTTTTTATAAATAATCCTCCTATTAGCTATCAACACCAATACATAATGCAACAAATCAAATCCACGTACACTGTCCACTCGTTCTCAACTTACAAATAGTAACTAATACCACTTTGTTTTATATTTATAGATATGAATGCAGTTGATTCTAACTAAAACTCTTTAATATTCTAGTCAGAGTATTATAGAGGCGGGTTGTACCGGAAAATGCATCTTATTACCGTGAAGGTAATAATAATAATGCAATGACCGGCCTTGAACGCTTGGAATATAGATCTAAGTGCGTTTGTAGAGCGAACTGTGTTAGAGAATTTTTGCATTTAGTGTTAGTACTCAGGCGTAATGGATAGACATGGTTTTCTATCAAGAAATAGGTACAATTTCATATTTTTTGTATTGGAAGTCTTAACAAGCCCTCTTTACTTTTTTACTCTTTCTTCTGCTTACTACAGTAAACCCAAACTTCAAATCACATCTTACTGCGATAGTTACATATTTCTTTAGCTACTATTACATTCGCGCATACTTGTTAAGAGTGCGATGAAGATACATTAGCAACAACCTAAAGTCTTTGTTAATAGAACAAAACACAAAATCAAATCGAAATATAATTACGAATGAATCATTACCAACTCAAGGAAAACCAACAAACACGATACAGATATGTTTTATAATAGCAGTCGTAATAATAATTATTATTATTTCCAAACCAAAACCACAGATGTTTGAAAAAATGTGCGGAAACCCGTTGCGAAAACCTGACCTAGCATAATACACGTTGTATATGTATGGACGTGAGAACAAATATAAAATGAATGATTTTAGGGCATTTCCAAACGAGACGCTCATTGAACGTCAAACTGGAATGACGTTTTCTAGTAAAACTGGAATTGGGGTGCATTTAAAAGCAGGGATAATACTTGATTATGGCAACTTTGATATCTACAGAACTTGTCTGGTTTGGGTGATTCACAGGGGATAAGTAACCTAAAGTGGACTTGATACAGGATTTGC